CAAGAATATCACAGAAATTACTTTAAAAAACCAGGAAGTGACATGTCTCAACTGTGATGCATGGTATCAGAAGGCATGACCTAACATTACTAGTGATGGTAACTTCAATTACTTAGTTGAGATGATGTCTGCCAGATTTCTCCAGAGTACTCTTTCTTTTTTTTTTTTTTAAACAAGATGTCAATGCAGAAAGCAAAGCACTGGCAACTTTACAAACACTATTTACTACAGCTATGCCTTTGCATGACACAAAAAGAGTCTTGAATATTGACTCCTGTCAGGGCTCTTGAATGGTATATTACCAATCTACTGCCAGTGTTCAAATGTGCCAGACATGTAGTGCCCTGGCACTAAGAATACTCTACAAATTAAAGAAAACAGTGTTTGACCTAACAGAACGCTGGTGGTCAAGAAAAATAATTAGCAAATAAACAGATATAACTTAAGGTGAGCATTTTGATAGAAAAGTACAAAGAAAATTGAGGAGAGTGGATAGAAATCTTTAGATAAAGGGACGACCTTTAAATTAAGACCTGAAGTAGAAAGAGCTAACCTTGAAGAGAGGAAGAGAAGAGGATGGAAGGGAGAGAAAATTCCATTCAGGTAATGGGAAGAGCAAAAAGACGCAGAGAGGGCAAGAAGGCAGATCTAGAAAAGCCTAACGAACAAGGGGAATGGGGCAAGACAGGCCTGGGGCTCCCAACCAGTGAAGGTTTTGAAATCAGGGCCATGCTTCAGGAGATCCACTCTGGTATGACATGCCAGCTAGGAGACAAGGCTAGGGAACAATTCTCTAGGGAAACAAAGCGCTTCTCTGCAGGGGCTGCCCGACCGATGCCACGTGTGTTAGGTGCAGCCCACTAAATGATCACCTCGAATCCCAACACCAGAGCCCTCCCACCAGGGCAAGGCCCAGTTCTCTTGCTTCAGGGACGGTGGGGGTGGCTGCAAGGCTGGGGTCGGACCCTCGGGCTCAAATTCGGGTTCGGCCACTCAGTAAACGTGGGTTAACCTCCCAGGGCCTCGCATTCCAACCGCCCAGAGTCTCTGATACTTCAAAGGGTCGTCGGGGCGCGTTCCCGGGCGAATGCACCGAAGTTTTCAACCGCGGGTCGACCACGTGTCTCGAGGTTCTGGGGACTGTCTCTCTGCCCGGGAAGACAGCTATCCCTACGAGGTGAGACCCCAGAGGCGTTGCCCACCCGCCCCCTCCCTCAGCGACGTCGGGAGTGCGTCTTTCTTAGGGGCGGGGGCGGGACGTGTAGACGGCTCCCGCTCCCCAACAGTAGTAACTAGCCTTTACCGCGCGTTTAGAGAGTACTCAAACCTTCACACGGATGGGCTTTACTACCTGACCACGAGCCTCTAGGGTGAATGTCATTTTACCCATTTCACAGACTAGGAAAGCAGAGATCTAGAGAGGCAGTTACACGCCGGTCAGAGCCGGGACTCGAACCCGGGTCCATCGCCAGAGGCTGCGATAGGCCACCTGCCACCCACCCCCACCCCCACCACACACACACGCCGGCAGCTGGAGAGTCGGCCCGCCAGTCTCTCAACTCCCCAGGCCCGGGCACGGCCCATCCCTGCCCGGGCTACAGTGGGTAAGACCGGGAAGGGGGCGGCGCCGCCGGGCCGGTCGAGGATACGGTTCTCTGAGGAGGAGCGCGGCCTCAGGGTCTGTAGTGTCCTCCTTAAGGCCGCGACCCTAGGGGCCTAGGCCTCCCACCCCCACACATCCTCGCTCCCGAAGCCGGTCTCCTCCGGATATGAGGGCTGGAGGCGACGTCCGATGCGGGGCTGCCGCCACACCTCACCTGAGTCGCGAACAGAGACGCGGAGAAGACTCACTAGGCACACTACCGATCCTCTCAGGCAGCCCCCGCACCCAACAACGGCCCGCGAGCCGCCTCACCACTTCCGACCACCTTACAGCCGCGCTCCCATTAGCCCGGCCGCGGCTCCGGCTGTCGGCCCATTGGATAGCATCGTTGTCGCTCCCAGGGCCCCGCCTTCTGCGCGCCGATTGGCTCCTCGGAGCTTCGTGGGGGTGTGTCTCTGAAAGTCCCAGCCCCTGCACATCTGGAAAAAGGGGGCAGAGACCAGAGCCCTGAACCCAGCATGGGTCCAGCAACTGCCTCCGACACCAGCTAAGGAAATTTGCTCCAACAATATTGCGCATACATTACTAATGTTGTTGTTGTTGTTGTTATGTGCCGTCGAGTCGGCCCGACTCATAGCGACCCCTTGGGTTTCCGAGGCAGTATCACTACGGAAGTAGGATTGCCCAACCTTCCTTCCGAGGAGTGGCTGGTGGGTTTGAACCGCCAGCCTTCTGGTTAGCAGGCAAGTGCTTTAGCCACTATGCTACCAGAGCTCCTACATTACTAATATGACTAATATATTAAGATAGTGACATTTTTCTCTTATCATGGGCCATTAATACTTACTGGTCATTCTTGCTATTCTTATGCCCTTGTGTAATGCTTCTGCAAGGTTCTGACCATAGTTGAGCACTTTGCTTCTTGCAATGGAATAGTTACCACCTTGGACGCGGCTCAAGTCCCAGTTTCTCCACTTCCTCCCTGCGTAGACTTTGAGTTCTTCCCTCATGAATGAAAAAAACAAAACAAAAAAATCAAACCCACTGCCATCAAGTCAATTCTGACTCATAGCAATCCCCACTGGATTTCCAAGGCTGTAAATCTTTACGGAAGCAGATTGCCTCATCTTCCTCCCTGAGAGCAGCTGGTGGGTTTGAACCGCAGACCTTCTGGTTAGCACCCAAATGCTTTATCCACTATGCCACCAGAGTTCCTTCATGAATTTGGGGGGGGGGGGGGTTGGAACTCACTGCTGTAGAGTTGATTCGACTCATAGAGACCCCTCCTTGGGTTTCCGAGGCAGTATCCCTGTGGAAGTAGTGTGCCAGATCTTCCTTCCCAGGAGTATAGTTATTTGTGTATTTGAGTGTGTACTATAAACAATGCATCAATTTAAAATCATGGTTTTATTTCAGATTATAATTGCAAAATGTTCATGAGTGAATACTAAGCAGGAAAAGCAGGCTGCAAAGCAATATAACAGGGCAGAATACTTTTCTTTAAATAGTGAGTATATGGTGCTGATGAAGAATATTAAGAATGAAGACATCTGTCTTGGAAGAAGTACAGCCAGAATGCTCCTTAGAACAAGGATGACGAGATTTCCTCTCGCTTTCTTCAGATATGTCATCAGGAGAGACCAATCTCTGGAGAAGGACATCAGGCTTGATAGATAGAGAGTCAGTGCAAAAGAGACTGTTGATGAGATGAATTGACACAGTGGCTGCAACAATGGGCTCAAACAGCAATGATTATGAGGATAGCACACGACCAGACAACGTCTCGTTCTGTTATACATAAGGTTGCCATTGTCAGAGCCAATTGGGTGACACTTGACCGCAAGAACATGAAATATATGCTGCATGATTCCAAACCTATCAAGTTCAAAGACAGAAAAAAGGTGAGTGACATTGGAATAGCAGTTACAATTGAAGGGTACTGCAGTGCAGTGAATTCCTTGGTATGGCTTTTCTAGCTAAAGTCTTTGTAACTCCCACCGGATTACTGGGTGGGACCATGCAAATAAGGTGTATACAAACCAGAAACCAAACACACTGCTGTCAAGTCAGATCTGACTCATAGTGATCCCTCCTTGGATTTCCGAGGTGGTATTGCTGTGGAAGTAGATTGCCCAACCTTCCTTCCAAGAAACAGAACTCTGGTATTAGGATTGGTTAGTTTTGTCACT